GCAACGGAGAGGCTGTGGCCGATCCGCGGACAGCATGAAGGTCAGAACTCGTGCGGTACCCATACCTATTATACAAGACACGCGGCGAGACAAAACGATTCTCGGCAAGCAGAAAATAGTCCGTCACCACTCTGGTGGTGGAAAATAGGATGTTTCCGCAACATCGGGACAAATATAATGTGGTCCACGAAAACGCCTTGCTTTCTTTCTCATCTTTTTTGGGGGATGACGATCAGGATATATCAGCAGTTGCGCCTATTCTCAGCCCCAGTCCACTGCCCGGCTAAGCGCAGTTTCTTCTGGCGCGCTTGTAGCTATCACAGTGCACCAAAAGCAGTGTCTTGAAAGGTTGCCAGCTGACGCGATAACTCGGACAGCGCTATCAGCCCAGTTTATGTTTCTGTGGCGGGTTGAACGTCAATCTGCAATGACTCCTTCTCAAAATAATGGACGCATACAATATTAAAAGTAACAAAAGCAAAAACCTTTTTTGCCACCATCTTCTGTGGTCTCCTCCTTCTCTTCCCTTCTGTGCTGAATCCTATCTAAGTACGTCTGTCCTTTTGTAGTTCTATTTGGGTGTTTCGAGGGTGCTAGCAAGGCCACCGGTCTCGCAAAAACGTTTAGGAGGGCGTCAATATCATCGGCAAACTCCATGCTGAGCATACGATCAGCCTCATCTAGGACCAGGTGCTTCATTGTGGAGAGGTGATGCTGAGCAAAGCCAGGCGACTGCTTCATGTGCTCTAACAGGCGGCCGGGGGTAGCTGAGATATAAAGGGAACAAAACAGGGGTCACCAATACTGCCATTATAGATGGGCACTAAAAGCAATATATCTATACAGTGAAGCCTCGGATGACGAGCAGCCCTATCTACGAACATTTAAGGTGACGAGGGAGTCAGTAGCATAAGATTTGTTTCGATAGTGGGGCCTACGCTCAGTTAGTGAACTGTTAGTACGTGCGCATGCCTGCATCCGAGGTTGGTTTTTGCTCCCAGGGCGTGGGTCCTCGGTCGCCTGCAACTAGTCAGTGAACTGATGCAGTTTGATTGGCTACCTTTTGCAAGACGAGTGTTTCACATGACAAGCTCGGGGCCGGAACGGATTGAAATCGTTAACTGAGGTTCCACTGGATAGTAAATTGGAAGCAATCAGCAAGATACTTTTCTATAAAGTATATTTCATGTAATTTCGAAACGGAACAGACAGAAGATAAAAAGTTTTCGAAAAATCTTAATACATACACTTAGGGCCTCAAAGTAATAAAATATAATGATAATGCTCCACAAATAAAGAGAAAAGTGCACTTTTTTAATTCCTAACGGAAATGTCGTCACCAATTTTCAAGAAAATCAAAAACAGACCATAGTTACCCATTTTGCCTTACAGTTACGTTGGAAAAACTTGAGTTTCGCAGATATTCGTCAACTGAATAGCTAGTTTAAGTGCTTTTTGTAAAACTTTTAAGTTGGTCTTGAGCATATTAATATCGGACTTTTGTTGTGGACATTTAGTTTTCTCGGTAACGAGTTCTCCTTTTTGGGTGAGTCTACAAATATGATCTAAATGGCCATCTTCATAAAACTGATATTCAAAAGCCAATTTTTTTCAGCAAATGCTTTTAAGAAGTATCTGATTTCAAAGATTTCGAGAAACACATTGAATAGTATCTAAATTTATGGAAAAAAGCATGAAAACACGGAAAATCGTGAAGTATTCGCTGGACTTTCAAAAACGACCTGAAACTACTTAAAATCCAATATTAGAAACATCTTTAAGGAAATTTGAAGGAATGAAAGCGCTTTTAGTTTGCACTAAATGACACGTTTGCGATTTCACCTAGCAATTATATTTGCACTCCTTTGTCACGGTTACAGCGATTTTTCATGTGTTCGGAGCCCAAGGTTTCCTCAAGAAATATAATATTTCTAAACGAACTATTATAATTTTTTAATATTTCTCTTAGGTTCTAAATCCACTGAACGTTGTTAAATATTATTCCAAAGTCTTTGTACATGCGCTAAAACCAGTTTGCGAGTGATTATCAATATTTCTCAAACTTCAGCATTTTGCATCACATAGGTCCCATTCTGTAAAAGTATGCAATGATATCAGAATTAACTCCTAAAAGCACAAGAGCATTCGCCAAGGAAGGAAGGTTTTCTGACCCAGCAACAACAGGGAGTTTAGGGCGTACCAAAGAGGAATCCAATGTGTAATCTATTGAAACAAACGTTGCCACTTAAATAATGTCGGTAGACATGCATATTTTCTGAAAAACAAAATAACCAAACACAAGGCGACAACAGTGAGGGAGGGGGACGTACCAACAATGATGTGATGGCGACACCAGGCCAGAGAGATTGCCTGTTCCACAGCATCCTCACCACCAATTAGGCGGATGACGTTCAGTTTGCTATCAGTCCCCGATAGAGCCACTTTACTGTAGTCAAAGTCTTGCATTAGCAGGTTCGCAGTTTCCGCGATTTGACAAACTAGCTCTCTTGTTGGCGCTAGTATGAGGGCATATCCGGTCGGTTGACCCGCTGATAACCAGCACTATGAACAAACACGAAAAGGGTTGAATTGGCGGAAATTGTTCAGTAAATATGGAATTAGAACGGTGAGCAAAACTAGGAACCGTCGGTGCCAAAAAAGGATTTGAGCCAAGTGGGAAAGCGGGAACAATACTACTCGCAATTCCCGAATTTTCTATTCCACGTGAGCTGCCCACATAAGTTGAGAAGTTATCTACGCTCGGGATCAGCTTAGTACCGTATAAT